GCATAAATTTGCTTTATCACCCTTTCTTCCTCCTAAAGAGTCCATTTCTGCAGAACCAATTTTACTTTGATGCTTCTTCTGACACATCGAACTTTCACAGCACTTTGAATTGCCATAAGTAACTTTTTTTGAATATACGAGTATAATTCTAGCAATGCTCCTTTATTTTCCTTCAACTATTAATTCCAGTTTTTCTTTCTCATACTTATTCCACATACATAGTTCGATTGCTACATCCACCAAATCTCTCTTTCTCGTTCTTCTGATAGTCTTTCTCGTGCTTTCATAATCACCATCACATCATCAAACAGCTCCTCCCAAGTCCGCTGCCGTATATAGGTCTACCCCAAATGTTACCATATAATCCAGTCCTGTACAGCTGTATACATCGAATGCCTGCATGTCAACTTACCAGTATGAGGGTGTTGTAGATTCTTCGAGCTATGCGGATATCTTCATTACCTACGTATTTTAAGATATTCTGAACATAGCCCACTTTATCTCTAACTAGGTGTCTCCGTTCAATATGTCATCATTGACAACACATATTGGTTAGCATTATAATAATTTCAAAATGGTCAACTCAATTCCACGGTTTGTTCACGAAGGATTGTTGTTGTTGGGAAGGATTAAGGATTGATTTGTTTGTTCACGATTTATTCAAAATACGTACATGAGCTATCGACTCTGGAATCATCGAAAACCCTGTTCAGTGGGGTAAGTACGGGTACTGTTGTGGCCTTAAACGGCTGACTACTAAAATGTATAAATAGTTCGTCTATTGTTGTGTTCAACGCTCGGAGAAGGCTGATGAACACTACTAAACGAACCAGTTTCTAGTTTTTTGATCATTGAAATTAAAATATAAAGACATTTATTTCAACACACATGACAAATTTCAATTAGAGATAAAAACTCCTAAATTACAATTTTAATAAACAAACAAAAAATAGAATTAAAAAAAATTACATTCACTATATGCAAAAGCATATTAAAAAAAGCGGTCTAGGTGCGTCCCGAAAGGTTGACACGACTAACTTCCCAGTGGAAAAAATAAAAAATACCATATGTTTTAAGTAATATTTTATACAATTTTTCATTCTGCACAAAAAACGACTTGACCGATTTTTCTCAAAATTTAATGAGGTCTAAGCTACATAATTATTCGGTAAATGAAACAGGTCCTATGTCAATATCACTCTTTGTTCTCGAGATACACGAGGTGAAAATTGAATCCGAACATACATACATACGTACGGATGCACACACGGACATCCTCTTAAAAACCATACTATTCGACTCTAAAGACCTTGAAACGTGGAGATATGTTAAAATTTCCAATATGCAAAATCAGACCCATTATAATAACTTCCCACTGGGACGTTAATGAAAATAGTGTAGGTACTATGATGAAGTGGTGGAAGGGACAGATTCTACATAAGCCGCCAGATTGCAGGGCTGCTTTTAAGCCGGCCTCGCACAAATTCAGACGGTCAACTATACGCGTGTTTAAAATCTGTATTCTATACCTCATATTAGATGTGCTGTAGACGGTAGTAGTAATGAAACCGTTAAAGCCATCGGCGCGCCAGTCGATGAGCGTCTTTTATGGTTAATGACTTATGTCATTCAAATAGATTGAAGGGGATTGTCAAGCTGATTACTCACCTGTTGCAGAACGTAGCCTACTTATCTTCTACTGTATGGACGATATTTGTTCAATATAATCACCTACTACCGTATGTATGTAAAAGTAATTTTTTTTTAATTATAAGATATAATACACTTTTTTCTTACTTCAAAACTCCATCGCTATCTCTATATAAGTAGGCCGATGGAAATTTATATGTTCAAACCATTTAATTCGTGAGGCAGCTTCTTAAGCAGCCCCACCCCCCTCTCGCTATCGTGTCCGCAGGCCGAGAAACTCTCTCTCGGACCCGCCTAATAAACTGTCAAACGATCTGAACTGTCTCTACTGGGTGCCACTCTAATTAAATTAAATTATTGTAATAACTAACATTAATTTGCCTTCGTAGGCACTCCCTCAGCGGCACTTAGCCGCCTGCGCCCTCTTTTCCCAAAAGAGGGTCGCTCATGATAAGGCACAATACAGCTTGATCAGCCGGCTGCCTGTCCCTAAAGGCGGTTTTTAGAGGGTATCACTTAGGGTCCCCGGTAGGACAGTGAGCCCCTCATAACCACGATAGACCGGCTATCGTGGTATGCGTAATGCATTTTCCGCTTCCCTACGTATAGGGTAGCCCTTTAATTGCTTCGGGCGCAAAAAAAAATTATATGTATGTACTTATACTTTTGTAAGTATAATACCTAATAACTCATAGTAGTGGTAGCAGCAGTAAGTCGATGGATGCAGATGGATTTGTGGCGTTCTTTGAGGGAGGCTTATGTTCAGCAGTAGACGTCTGATGGACTGTAATGATAATAATGATGATGATACTTTTTTTTACAACTATTTGACTATCAGTTTAAGGTAAAGTATTTTTTAAGGAAAACAACAGTGACCCAACCCAATTTCACCTTGAAAAAAAAACATATGAAAACTATTGAACTCAAATGTAAGTACGAGTATCATCCTAATCAATACAGCTCCGAGTAAAGACTGCTCGACTTACTTTTCTCACGTTATTAACATTTCACTATCTTATTTTATTACTACTACTCTTATTTTATTATATATACTCTCGGAGCTGTATCCTACAATTTTTTTTGGTCACTACTGAAACTGAGTTTGCCTTTTTTAGCATTCATTCGACATACAGTGTCAAATTTTTTTCTTTCGTTTTTTACTTATAAATTAGTATAAAATCGTGTTCGTCAATGATCTGTACCAAAATAAAGTATTCCTCCCTTTTTTTCATCATCTTCGAGGGACCGGGGATTTTGGATAACAACTGTACATAGTGTCGTTTAAGCTGCGAAAAAAAAATGTGGGTAACGACCCTATGCAAGTCTCAAGATCACTTTATAAGCAATTAGATTGGCTTTTCTTTCTCAAAAAACGCGAGTAGCCGGATGAGGATAAATTAATATCAGAGTTCCGGAAATTGGGTGGATAAGCAATACTTGTGTTAAAATGTAAAGCAGATGCAGGATGGAAACTCTATGTTGAAATTAAAATGATTGTGTTCCGGGTTCAAAATGTCCAAAGAATAACTGCTACGTATAAATAACGTTTAAATTTAAAAATGATTAAAGTTTTAAACTGATTAAATTTTTTCTTACTTTATAACGGTGGGTGATATAACGACCAGCCAAAGAAAACAGTTAATTTAAATCTTAAACGTGGTAAAGCCTTGCTGCCGATAAACTAGTAGTATAGTTGTAGCACGAATAAGCTCCACACGAAAAATAGCAGCTTAACGCTGCTGTGTTTCGTATGGTGAGTGTAGAGAACCGGAGACCCTTTTTACTGGAAAGGAGGGATTCCAACTTAGTCCTTACTGGTTAAAACGCATCTGCATTTTGATTCGTGATCGATGATTGATGTAGATGTCTATGGACCGCAGCAACCACTTACTATCAGATAATAACGTAAGCGTGAAAAACGAGCACACAATCCATTGTGTGCGCGTTTGCCACGTTTATGATATAAAAAAATTTAGGCGCTTTTACACCTGAGCCCCATAAGTCTATAACAAATGGCACAAATATACACATATTTCTCTTTCCGAGAATCATATTTTAACATTTTCTCTGACTTTAAACGAGCTGCTCATGAGATGAGAGGCCGTCTAAATGTCTACAATGAGATAGTAGGTACGTATAGCAACATTTTAATACATTAACATCGATCGTGAATTTTAACTTTTCTATTTGATAATTTTACCATCTGAAAATATTCACTAAAATAAATATCGTGATAGTATATCTCAAGATATTTCTTTTTCATTAATTCTAAATATTTTCATTAAATTTTTCATTAACTCTAAATAATGTTTCTCATTTATACTCAAACCAATATTATTTTTTAATATATTTTACCATACTCATTATTAACAAAATATGATAAATTATCCACACCTTTAAATAAACATTATTATTATTATTATTATTATTGGGGTATCTATATAATTTTCTCACCTGGTTGGGTTCTATAAATATATAATTATAAATTAAAATGAAAAGATAAATATACATATTTTATACGTGGTAGAGCCATGCTGCAGTTATATTAGTAGTATAGTTGTAGCACGAATGGGTCGGCTCGACCGGGGAAGGACCACGCTCTCACAGAATACCAGCGTGAAATAGTAGCTTAATGCTGCTGTATTTCGTATGGTGAGTGTAGAGAACCGGAGACCCTTTTTACTGGAAACGAGGCATTCCATCTTAGTCCTCACGGGTGACAACGCATCTGCATTTTTATTCGTAATCGAGGATAGATGTAGATGTCTATGGGCCACAGCAACCACTTACCATAAGGTGGACTGTGTGCTCGTTTGTCACCTATCCTATAAAAAAAACATAAATATCAATAAAATAAAATAAATACAAAAACTACATAAATAAATAAGATCCAACCAGATGGGAGCCCTCGGCAGGGGAGACCAAACCTCGTCGGCAGACCACACCACATGTCGGTCACCTCGTGAGCCAGGTCCAGATATTTTGTTTGCTTGTCCGTTTATTATTATTATTATTATATATTTAATACAGAAAAGCAGACCCTTAAAATTTCATTTTAACATAAAATCATGAAGATTATTCTCGCAATATTTCGGAAATCCTTATTGGCAAGCTGCATAGTTAATAGCTCGAAAAGAATTAAAAACATAGATTAATTGAAATCGGCCAAAGACATCATCATCTTTGTGATTTGTGGTATCCGACTAAGGTTACTATATTGTATAGTTATAAATAAATGAGGGTTATTAAGATACAAAAAACGATTTTATTAAGCATATACAGATATATTATCAAAACAACTTAAATACATGTATTAAAAGATAAAAACAGTGAAGATTAAGTAGAAGGCATTAAGAACTTGCTACAGATGTGAGTATCGCTTCCTGCGTGCTGCATTTCTTGTAATGTGTCCTCATGTTGGAGGATTGCGTGAATGCCAATTTGCATCTCGGACACGAATATGGTTTAGCACCAGTATGGAAATTCAGATGAGACTTTAAATGATGCTTTTTCGTAAACGATTTGGGACACAACGAGCATGAGAAGGGCTTGATTCCTGTAGACATAATTATGAAAAATAATTAATTGTTTTGACACCATTTAATTTAACAAATTGACATGTGAATAATGTTAAAACGTTTCTTGTAAGTGACAAAAAGAGAAGTAGTGCAATTTATTCGCTATATAGAACATTAATTTAGTTGCCTTACCGACAAACAAAACCTGGACCAACGTTGACAAAACCCAGCTCGACCCTGTATCTTATTTGTACATAGACTTCAATTTATTACGTTTATAAACTCAAATGGAAAGATACTATTTAATTCCAGGGATATTAGAAACAACTATCAACGGCTTAAACGATTCTACCACAACAAAAAATACAAATGTATAGGTTCCACGAAAGCCAAATAACAGACTTCATAAATTAAATGTACCCACTAATTTTAGTATGAAGTTTTTAAATCAGGAAAAGACATTTAGAATAGGATACAGACTGCTTGGATGATAAAGAAACTATTTGGTATGTTATATCATTATCGTATGCTAATCGAATCAAATTCATGGGGGGATATTTGCCATAGTTGCCACGCTTGGCGAGCGGGTTGGCAACCGCAGTTTTTTATTATATTAGTGTTGTTATCAGGAAGATGCTGCTGCCCATCTCCTGCCTGTCTCCCTCTGTCGCCTCTTACGACACCCACGGGAAGATATGGGGTAGTGGATATTCTCAACCGCCACTACACGGCAACCCACTAGATGGAGTGACTACCTGGTAAGATATGCAGGAAGTCGATGGATGCAGGTGGCTCAGGACCGTGCTTTGTGGCATTCTTGGGGAAGGCCTGTGTTCAGCAGTGGACTTGTGAAGGGCTGTAATGATGATGATGAAATGAATCAAAGGCTATGTCCGTCAATAGAATTAGCTTTGCATTAAGCAGAGATTACAAGAAACAGAGATAAAGATACTACGACAAGAAGCGTAACTCGTACAGATAAAATAAAGAATGAACATATCTATTCTAAATTTAAAGTTGCACAAATATTTAACAAATGTAGAGAAAAACGGCCGCGTTTGTATATTTTACGTAATATAGAAGAGAGGCTATGAAAGACTACAAATAGCCTTGATCCAATCAACTAAAATTTAAATAACATTCGCAAACATAACTACAGTAATAAACCACAATCATGCAAAAAAAAAATTAGTAAAACTGACACTCTAAACGAAGTCAAGACCGGAAGAAAGAAGAAGTGACGCTGATACTGCACCCTCGCTTAACTACGATATTACCGCATAAGCGTTACACGGGTAGGTTAGGAACGAATGCCTTTCATGGCACTATAATATCTCTTGTGCAGTTGATAGCTTTGCACAGCATTTTGAAGGCAGATATTATCATCGTCCTTTTTTCTACCAATAATATTTTAAATGATACCAATTTAAATTTTGTGTATATTAAAACGATAACCTTTAATATCATTTTATCCCGTCCATCGTAAGAGATTCGACAGATCTGGCAGTTTAACCATCTCCTTTGCCCCAAAAGTTAAATATACAGGCCGGTGGTAGTAAAGCAAAGAGAATATACGAGATATGTTACTGACGTTGCTCGAAAATGCGAGACGTCAATACAACGATCACAGGCGATCACCAACCCGTCTAAGAAATTTGTTGATTAAGACTAATCCTCACTAAAACGGGAGAGTCTCGTGTCCCGTAGTGGTCTTACACAGGTTAATACAGAATATTTACAAGCAAAATATTTTTAGTACTGTATAAAAAAGATAAAACTGCCGCACTAAAATATTTATTTTATATAATGAAAATTGCAAGGAAAAAATTGAAAAGAAACTAACCAGTGTGGAGTCTCAGATGTAGCGTCATGTTGGATCGGTCAGCAAACCGTTTGTTACAATGTGGACAAGCATATGGCCGCTCGCCGGAGTGCGTCCGCTGATGTTGCTTTAACAGCATCTTACGAGAGAATGCCTTACCGCATTCATCGCACACATGGGGTTTTACGCCTATAATGTAAAAATACAAAATAAAATATATTCTTTTTAAAGAAGTAGAGAAGCAAACAAAACATCAGTGCTCTTTGCTGCACTCTTGTCATAACATTTACTAGAAACTTGATTTTCAGATGAGTTATAGTAGTATAAAATTCTCTTCAGTGACATCTTTACTACATTTAAAATTATACATACGTCGAAAGAATATCTTCAGTACCTGCCACTACTTACCTGTAGACTATTTTCAGTATTTTGTTCAAATAAAAACTTATTTGTTTTTTTTTTTGGTTAATTGAAAGTACTTAACATTTATTTTCATTTGAAAAAAGTCTACTTCGGTTTCAACTCCGTTGCCGTTGCTCGCCAAGATAACGATTCACAAGTTCGTCGTTGCGATGGTTGCGATTCGAGATGGTTTTGCAATAATTGAGCTTTTTCCATAGTCCTAAAACCTTGCACCTAGTAGGACGTCATTTCTGTCATGGCTTGTTGTATGCGTGAGTCAGTGCCGTAAGAGAATTCATCAGCAAATTTCGTCCAATAGATGTCGGTAGAGGCAACTATAGAAAATGCCGGCAAAACTTATACCTTCCGATAAATGTCGGTAAAATCATCTGGTTTATGCTGGATGTAAAATTCAAGACCAGCGACGAGCAGTGGCGTCAAGTGTACAAGAGGTCTGGTACCGCTATCGTCAATCTGCCTGTTATGTGTGACGTCTGACGATTTACTGCGCCATTTTTACTAAACCTTTTGTTCTTTTAGCTTTTGTTGTCTGTGAAGCCAATTTATTCGAAATTATTTAGTTTACCAATTTAAAGCCAACTAAAGATTAATAGAGTTTATTGATATTCATCATAATAAATGAAAAATTAATTATCTTATCATTGGTCGCTATTCACAATTATAAAACGAAATCCAAAGTTATGTCCCGTGAATCCAAGTTATTAATTTATATATTATATCATTGAAGTTGTAGTATCTGAGAAAGAGTATTATTTTAGAAGTTTCAGCTTCTAATTGGTTTTATCCTTCTGTTATATAATATATTTTAATGGTTTAGCATTTTCATGCGTGAAATTTTATCCTCATCCAAACTGGCCATAAATAAACTCATAGATTTATTCCATCTTTATTCACTAAAGTACTATTTCCTGTCGGTAAGCATTTCTTCAGTGTAGCTTTCATAACGAATCCCAACCCACATAAGTGTAACCTAAACCTCCGCTGTATGAAACCTTTTCTTCAAAACAGGCTTACTTCAATCCCTCTCCTGAATCTCGACATACTCGTATATCATTTTGTTACCCTTAAACCCTCTCAGAAAAGAGCACAAGCCTCTGCGTCTAGTAGTGGGACGTATAAAGGCTGTATATAACATTACTTTACGTGACTTTATAGTTTTTAAAGTGTATGCTCTATATGACTCGAGATGTCTAAATGTACTTTATTATTTGAAAATTGTATGTAGTAGATTCAAACACATTTTAAAATTTAGTCTGCAAAAAGTAAAATTAAGATTTTTATTGGCGTTCAATAGAATAAGAGCTTTAATTACATTTTTAAAGTTTAATGCTATCCAATTTTTAGCTTAAGTCCTTACAACTACAAAATATAAATTACAATTATTCATTTCTGGATTCATATGGTATTTGGATTTCTCTTTGTATCATATATCCTGCAATCAAATTACAACCGCACAAAATGACACCACTTCTAATACATTTTTGTCCCGTCGTCCCAGTTTTCATCAAAATGTAAAACGATTTTTATATCATCTATTCCTTCATATACTATCGTCAGTTCTTTGGTATGTTTTATATTATGCACTTATTACATTTGATTGCTTACCATGTTTTACGTTTTACGTCTTTGGCATACTTAAGAAATAGCTCAAGTCAAAGCCTAACACAATACTATGTACCAATACAAATTTCCTTTCCTAATGGTATCAAAAATAAAAGTTCAATTTTATATGTAATATAATATATTCTATTGATGTTAGCATTTCCAAATACATAATTTAATAAAAACTTTTCTATTACTTTAGTTTCAATTCTTTGCGTTCCCCTACACCCGACGGTTCACGGTGCGAAATACCCGAGTTCAAATTTATTTAACTTCGTACAACGTAGGGAGAGACGACTTGGTTAGAGATGCAGGAAATCTGAGATGATGGAGGAAAGTATTGTGGATGGCTGTAATAATAATACAACATATATTTATGATGTATAGACGGACATAACGCATTGACTTATATATTACTAGCGTAAGGACCGGGCCGACCGAACAACTAAAACGGACCAGTGTGCTGACCCTAAAATTACAGTTTAGGGCCAACGTGAATCGGTCGACAGTGGTGCGCGCGCAGGACAGATTTGCCTGTCATAAATATGTCTAATTGCTTGGCAAAAGAATGCAAAAATTACGATACAAATATTAAAAAGGAACATGGGATATCGTATCATCGGTGAATAACCTTATATTAATTTTATTACAATTAAATTATTATATAAACGCATTTTAAAAGTTTCATTTTACAGTTAGTTTAGTTACGTTACCAGCCAGCAAAGTGAGTATGGGCAAATCTTCCAAGTAGTCTTACGCGCTGGCAGACACTTGAAAGGTCTAGCAGTTGACTCAAAATGATTATGTAAGTAATGTGATGTGAATTATAAAGTCTTCTTCTTCCTTATTATTAGCTAGTGAAATTTACTTTTCTTTTATTTTCATGGAAACAATTTTAACTTTTTTTTCATGGAGACATGTCAATCCTACGTATACCTGTTTCGCGACGCAAGGATGGGTTATATCGAGCTCTTACGACTAGAACCCCATGATTTTTCATGTTCGCCGTATACAAGCAGGGCTACGTGAATGCTTTGGCATACATCCGCTGCCCTTCCAGCGACAGCAACCCCTCTTTTTTCTCGGGAGAGTATACTCCTTTTCATATTATTTATCTCTCTAATACATAAGGAATAATCCTCCACGGACTGCAATTTCATTTCGGCTACGGCGAAGGATACCAAGTGGGTTGGTATTCTATCAGAAAAGACGTAGTAGTACCAGAGGTTCCTCTAAGTTCACCATGGATGACCAAGCCTTGGCTACTAAACCGACAAGTAGCCTACTACCATAAATTTGAAATTATAAATCTACCCCTAAATTTAATTGAGTATAAGATTGTTCTCATCAATTTGGAAACAGCAATTTTAAGGTGTTTTCTTGTAAACTTAACACAGGCACGCACGCTACACCCTCGGACGCACACATGAATTTGTGGCGACGGGATAACATAATATAACATCACTGAGCTCATAATATTAGTTCAGTTATGTTAAATATGACGGCACCTGCGCTGTTGCATATGCAGCAGCGTCTCTGTAGCTAGCCAGAATTCATGTAAATTACACGTGCACCACACACCTGTGCGTTGCACTTGCAGTGGCGCCCTTGTGGTTACTTGTTTTGCTTGTATAAAACGACAGACGAAGCTGCCGCCGTGAAGGCAGTCTAGTCCTATGAAGCTATAAAAACCGCATAGGCGAACACAACACCAACATCATCTAAACCAGATCTTGAAGGCAGTCTTGTCCTATGAAGCTATAAGAACCGCATAGGCGAACACAACACCAACATCATCTAAACCAGATCTTGAAGGCAGTCTTGTCCTATGAAGCTATAAGAACCGCATAGGCGAACACAACACCAACATCATCTAAACCAGATCTTGAAGGCAGTCTTGTCCTATGAAGCTATAAGAACCGCATAGGCGAACACAACACCAACATCATCTAAACCAGATCTTGAAGGCAGTCTTGTCCTATGAAGCTATAAGAACCGCATAGGCGAACACAACACCATCATCATCTAAACCAGATCTTGAAGGCAGTCTAGTCCTATGAAGCTATAAGAACCGCATAGGCGAACACAACACCAACATCATCTAAACCAGATCTTGAAGGCAGTCTTGTCCTATGAAGCTATAAGAACCGCATAGGCGAACACAACACCAACATCATCTAAACCAGATCTTAAAGGCAGTCTTGGCTCTGGCGTGGTACGGTGCACTTGTTGTATTCAGTTACTAGCTCATCCTCGACTCTTTGGATAATTAATTCGTGGAAACGAATTAATTATTATTCTCAGCTATTCAATTAGTCTCAGTACAGTTCACAGTTGATTAGTTCTATTCTTATCGATGTAGTCGGTGTATTTCATGATTGTATGAAGTGATATATTGTAAATTAATTCCGTTTAAAAGAAATGTTCCGCTGGGTTTCTTGCTGGTTCTTCCCAGGACAGAGGTTTTCTCCAAACCACTGGTAGTTCTTATCAACGTAGACTGTGTAGATTGTATGAAGTGATATATTATAAACCGATTCTATTTAATAGAAATGTACCGCTGGGTTTCTTGCTGGTTCTTCCCAGGACAGAAGTTTTTTCCGAACCAGTGGTCATAGTACTACATTGATTAACAAATGATTCTAGTCTATTGCCAAAGCCTTTTCGGTAATAACCCTCATCATCATCATCATCATCACAGCCCTTCACAAGTCCACTGCTGAACATAGGCCTCCCCCAAGTAATGCCACAAAGCACGGTCCTGAGCCACCTGCATCCATCGACTTCCTGCATATCTTACCAGGTCGTCACTCCATCTAGTGGGGGGTCGCCCTACACTACGCCTACCGGTACGAGGCTGCCACTCGAGAACCTTTCTTCCCCATCGGTTATCGGTTCTTCGAGCTATATGGCCGGCCCATTGCCACTTCAGCTTACTAATCCGTTGGGCTATGTCGGTCACTCTGGTTTTACTGCGGATATCCTCATTTCTGAGTCTATCACGCAGAGAAACTCCGAGCATAGCCCTCTCCATAGCTCGCTGAGCGACCTTGAGCGTCCTCATACGGCCAGCAGTGAAGGACCACGTCTCTGATCCGTAAGTCATCACTGGCAACACGCACTGGTTGTACACTTTAGTTTTCAGAGATTGAGGTATACCTGACGAGAAGATATGTCGTAATTTCCCGAACGCTGCCCAGCCGAGTTGAATCCGTCGATTGACCTCTCGGTCGAAGTTGGACTTACCTAGTCGGAATATTTGTCCCAGGTAAACGTACTCGTCAACAACTTCGAGCATAGTGCTCCCAACAACTATCGGCATAGGTGTGACATGGACATTAAACATAATCTTTGTTTTGTCCATGTTCATCTTAAGACCTATCCGTTGGGAGGCACTATTGAGGTCATTGAGCATAGTGCTTAAGTCCTCCAGCGATTCTGCCATAAGGACTATATCGTCGGCAAATCGAAGGTGAGTGATGTACTCGCCATTGATGTTAATACCGTATCCTTTCCAGTCCAGTAGCTTGAAAACGTCTTCCAAAGCAGCGGTGAAAAGTTTCGGGGATATAACGTCACCCTGTCTTACACCTCTCTGCAGTTGGATAGGTTTCGAGCTCTGGTTCTGTACTCGGATAGCCATCGTAGCCCTACTGTACAAACACTTCAGCACTTCGATATACCGACAGTCAACTTGGCACCGCTGAAGGGACTGCAGCACCGCCCAAATTTCGACGGAATCAAAGGCTTTCTCATAGTCCACATACGCCAGGCAAAGTACTAACCCTACATTACATTATTTAATTACCTTTCTACAAATATATATCTGTAAATATTTATATTTACCTGTGTGAATTCTTACGTGCATATTATATGCAACACGCTGATTAAATGATTTTGGACACATTGTACACTTGTATTCTTTCCGATTCCTGAAATAATTGCCATATTAATATTTATCTCTTAATTCATAATATAGATAGCTTTATGCTTATGGAACCTATGCATTCACATTATCCTGTTTTAATTAAAAATATTTGTTACAGAATGAAAATTGTAATCTATTTTTTTATTAAATTTATTTTTTATTAGCCACTGCTGAACATAGGTCTCCCCAATAAATTTCCTCATTAATGGTATTTTGCTATATTTGCCACGCTTGACAAACGGGTTCCCTCTGTCGCCTCTTACGAAACCCACGGGACGATATAGGGTAGTGGATATTATTACACCGCCACTACATGTCGTGATAAATCCTTAATGAGCAATAATTTCCCATATATAATTACATAGATAGAGAAGAAAAAATACAACAAAGTAAGGGTAGAACTACTACGATAGATTCTACTAATTAGAGAAACATAAAGTAGAGTGTCTTTACTTTTGACTGTTTACGGTATTCAATGAATGTTTCATAACATAAAGTCTTTTCTGAGAAATATTCCTTTTCTTTAAGTAATTTAAGAATAATTTCTCATAATAGTTTATTTATTCAGGAAATCGAGCCAATGTTCGAACAAATATCAACGAAAGCAGTTTGTTTTACGAGCGATAAACCTACTCACACAACCTTCGAAGTTTATCCTATAGAACCTTTCCAACCACGCCAAGTTGATCTAGTGGTCGTAAACGTAATGACTGATCATGAGGTCCAGGATCCGAGTCCTAGGTAGGGCTAATGTTTCTGTTTTAATTGTTGAGTACTTACAAACTATTTTACTATCAAAAAATATTTATTATTTTAGGCTAACAACGAATATTTTAATAAGACATGAATTTTTTACGTGGTAGAGCCATGCTGCAGTTATACTATTAGTAGTATAGTTATAGTACGAATGAATCGGCTCGACCGGGGAAGGACCACGCTCTCACAGAATACCAGCGTGAAATAGTAGCTTAATACTGCTGTTTCTGACTGTTCGGTATACTACCATAATGTCAGGTTCACTTGTTTTATAGTAAAACCTGTCTATGATATTCAACCGATCACGGTACAACGTGACACTTCTATTTTCAAGAACTGGCTTAGGTTCATACTTAAAACTTATATGTTGAGTAAAACTACATTTAATGGCTAGCTGCTGGTGTCTTATTTTAGCGTCTTGGTTATGTCTGTGCAAATATTCACCATTCGATAGTTGGAAACAACCGGAAATCACATGTCTGAGGGATTCTCCAGGGCGATGACATCCCTCAGAATGTACTTCCGGTAGTTGTAGGTTTTAATTACTTCGTCTTGTATTACACAAACAAAACCTTCAGTTTCTGTTAGAAGGTCGCCAAATCGTAACCAATTTACTGATGCAACCATGTCCACACCAGGATTGGTCAATAATTTTAAAAATCGACCATGCGGTTATTAAACGTCTTTTAAAATAAAATAAAAAATAAAGAAATGAAAAAAAACCAAACCATTTTGCACTGTCTTAGTATAAGGCATCTGCCAGTCCTTTACTGACATATTAAACGAGGTTAACGATTTATCATTAATTACTACGTCACTATGAATGCGTGATGCGTCTTTTTTTTGTAATAAAATAGTGTCTGAGGTTGTACTCGTATACTTCTCGATTGTGTAGGTTTTTTATAATGAGTAAACCCATCTTTTCTTGGAAGACACAACCTCATGATCGATGGTCGCAGGTGATGCCTTCTGTGCGTAGTCATCAATGTACGGACTCGTTTATCCAAGCCATCCAATTCCGTTTGAGACCATCTTGTAACACCAAAAGTATATAGAAGGCTAGGTATTACCCAGGAGTTACATGCTCTAATTTTGTTTTCGCCGGATTAATGACTTTTATTAACTTTTTTAATCTTGACATAAATTTTATTTTGAATCTTCTTTAATATTTTTGTAATTTTTATCTAGCGCTTCTGCCATGCACAAGTATTTATAAGTTTCTGTTTCAGAAAAAGAATTAAAATGTAAATCATTTGCAATTTCAAAATTATAATTTTTTTAATTTTGCCGTTTTTACATGGATGACAGCACATTTATCTATTCCTAATTCCATTCTAATATCATTGTTCAAACTATGTGTTAATTTCAAAAATAATAGTAGATCACTTCTTTAGATGTGAATAGCTTGACATCATCGTAGCTCACCACATTCTATGACTTCTTTAATTTGTGCAGCTAAACACGCGTGGCTACTTGTGAAACATTTCAGCCAAAAGTTGTGTATTACATCTGGTCCAGGGGATTTCCAATTGTGTAATCTAATCTGAGTATACATCTCCAACAGTAATTGAGATAGATTCCATGCTAGCCAAATTAGAATCGCACTTTCAGTTGCCTTTATCATGAGAAACTTTTCACTAGAACTTCTAGTCTGTTACCTGTTTGATAGTTTATTAACTTTCCAAATATTTTGAGAGTATTTTAATATGTGTTTCAATTCTTTAGGTTCTGTATTATTATTCTAAAAATTCAGTACTTTTAAATTTTTAAAATGAGAAGAATATTTATACAGCATGAGCACAACAGTAAAAAAGTGACATTGACATTTTCTTACTATTTTCAAAATAATCTGTATAATATATATTATGTTATGAATATTTATTGATGCTACTGTTAATATAGTTTTTCAGTTGTTTGGAAATTTGGGTACTTTCGGTTTGTTTTCTATAGGAAGATATATTTTTATATTCCAGAAGAGAACATTCGAAAGTCCTTCTCGCTGTGTGCTGTCCTGGGAACTCACATCTATATCAAAACTATTTCGCTCTAGTGTTTCGTTGTCTAAGTTAGTAATATTCACATTATTTTTACTTTTACTTATATTTAACTAATCGTTCCAACTTAGAAGTGTCCGTTGGGAATCAAGAATAGAATCAATAGTAGACGTTGAGTAACTACTCACTGCAAAGTTGTTCAAGTAATCTGTCGTCCAAAATCTTACGACTTGGGATGAGACGTACTTGATCTGAAAGGCTCCAGCTGTATTAATTCCAATACAGCATTTTAGGGTAGTAAGATGTAAAATTGATCTTCTTGTGGGTTAGTAATTCCTCCTGATGTCAAGCCGGTGGTGCTCTTCGTCCCCTCAAAGATTTTACGCGGGTTCTTCTCGTGCCTCTAGGATTACATTCCAGTTAGATTTAGAATCATTTGTGAAGAATTTGGAGGAGCAATGTGTTGTATTTGGTAGAGGTTTGGTCCCCGATTATAACAATACCACTCGCATTAAAAGGTAATGCACTGTTTTCGAGTAAATAAGTAAAAACTTAGAATCGTTTGGTAGCAGGGGTGATGGAGACTAGGGTAGAGTGCCCTCTATGCTCCGATACCAATCCCATGAAAAGGTAATCACTGTTCTCAAGAAAAATTATAAAGAAAATCCCATAGACATAACCTTAAAATGATAAAATTTATCTCTCTGCGGTAGGAGGCCACATAGGCTGTGGCGGGAGCTGCTGTACGCTTCGCTCTCGCCACAGCCTTCAAACCTAACTCGACTGAAAGTATTTCTCAATGTAAATTTCAATGATGTATGAGTATGTAATAATCATGTCTTTATTGTTTGTAAACATAATGTATTATGAAAGTATAGACCATAGAAGAATTAAAATACCATAGAGTTATAATAAGGTGTACACAAAATTATGTTTGCTATCCAGCTTTCATAGTAACATTGCATTCATTTTTTTAGGTTATAACAGTTTTAAAGGTTGGATTTTTCAACTTCTTGTTTTTATATTATTTATTTTTATATGTTTTTAAGAAGTTTAGAAGAAGTAACCGAATTAGGGATTTTTTAAACCTTTAAAAATTCATAATTTCGAAAATATTAACTTTGTCTTAAAAAGCAATAGGATATTTCATTAAAGAAAATTAAAAAAATTGTCCTGTTTGAAAATAACAATTTCTTGCAATTGAAAAAATGGCATGCCTCATGTCTCATATCACGCATAACATAAATTTATATCATCAATAGGAGAATTCGAAGAGAATCGCATAAAAAAATTGAGGTGGAATAGTTTTCGGTACACATGCGCCGATTTCTCCTGGACTATTTCTTCTGCAGCGACTTTTTTAACGTTTTTATTGTATTTAAATATACAGATATTGTAAAATCTATTTGCGTTGAAAACGTATTATTTGGGAACTGAAACATATGCTATATTATTTTTTTAGATTTTGTATTAACTGCGTCATTTTCATTTGACAACATCCGCCGTCATTATTCATCCACCCAAAAAAAAAATTGTGAGGTAGAAGCTGTGGCGGTGGTCGCAAACGACCAGAACAATCATATATAATTAACTAAACAAAAAACAAATTATAACATTTACAACTAATTCTCCACCTACGGGAGGAATACACAGAATAAATGTCCTTTGTCAATTTGGTAGTTAAAGAATTGCTGGAAGATATCGCAATATCAAAATAGATTTAAATAAAACATTTAAGACAACAAGCGTAGCGTGATTTTGTTTATTAACTTAATTGTTTATTATATTTAAATTAAGTTTTTAATCCAGACTCCAGACTTATTTCGGTTACAGCGGCCTGTCTCAACGGATGCTAGCCAACGTCGCAGGACAGGATTATAGTGTCCAAGTGTATGCGCAAGCACAGGTGCACTCTCTATTCCCTCACTCTCATAACGGTCGTGTCGGTTTACCGATGGGACGGTAAACTGACACGACCGAAGAGAGATCAGGCGCAGGACCAACGGATTTACGTGCTTTCCGAGGCACGGGGGTGAGACACCGCCAACTTCCTGACTCCGGGCAGCTACTGAGAATTTCTTGACAGAATAACTCAATAATTGATTTTTTTTCTGGCCCGACCCAGGATTCGATCAGCACCAACCCAGGACTTCATGATCAGCAGTCGCACTACTACAACCGCTAGACCAACGTGGCAGTCAGTAAATGTATAATATCTTAACTAATTCAATCGATTATAATCAAAATTGTATGTTTAAGTAACAAACCTATCATTTAAATAATTCATATAATGCCGTACGAGAAAAAAATTCTAAAGATATTCAAAAATAATTAATATAATAATATATATATGCAGCAAAAAATCTACCGTACTACTTACTTCATCATGTCGTTACTCCTTTTAGTGTGGTTCGCGTAAAATTGCGTTTTCCACGTACGAAGCTACCACTCGAGATCCTTTCTTCCTCATCGGTTGTCAATTCTTCGGGCTATATGGCCGGCCACAACTGCTTCAGTTTACCGACCCGCAAGTAGCTCAGGCCTATGTTCAGTAGTGGATCTATGATGGACTGTAATGATAATGATAGTATGACTACTTACTTATGAATTTTCATATGGCTACTCAAATATCCTCTATCGTTAAAATATTTTCCGCAGACGGGACAAGTAGTGGCAAACTCCTTTGTGCCGCGATGCACTGACATATGATACTTGAAGTTACGCAATTGGGAAAATGTCTTAGAGCATTCTTCACATCTGTAGCGGGTCACCGTTGAATGGCGCCGCATATGGCTAGCAAACGACTCGGTACTTATAAAAATCTAAAAAACAAACACACTATTATAAACAAAGTTGGCGATGTCGCATTTCAGGGGTAACTCGTTTAGAGCCGTGGCGGCATCAGAGGTCCGTGCAAATATAATGAATTCTCTAAGAAATTACTACATGTTTGTGCCATTTGCTGTAAAGCCTTTCGGTCCGTGGCATCCACGCGAAGAGATCCTAAAGGATTGCCGTCGCCGCTGATAATAAGAGAGCTGGTTCTTTTCATGCTCAAAGACTAAGTATAGATTATTCAGCAAGAAAATGCGGGCAATAGGAATGTATGATAATTTTAGTTTTCATTTTAGTATAAAAAATATTGTTCATTTTTATATCTTGTTTGTAATCCATATTGAATTCATTGTCAAATGTATTTAAAAAAAGGTACTATGCTACCGAACTATACTCTCAACTAGTAAATTAATATTAGGTAGTAGTTGTTCGAATTCTCTATGTCTATATCAAAATACGCTCTCCATACAATTTAAAGCAAAAATCAATAAGAAGCTTGTGCAGGTGTGTCTATCCATAGATTATTTACAATTACTATAATATCAGTATAATCATTAAATCCACACAATAGGCTAAAAAAATATTTTACATAGTACTTAGATTCAAAAATATCATTTATACATACAATAAAACCATTAACAGCGCTTGTGTATATGCATATCTACAATGGCTGAAACAATTTCGATGTATTTTCATTGACGTAATGAGATAACATTTAGTGTTTGTTTTGTTCAAATCGGTTGACAACTAAAAAGATATGTAAATTTTAAAGCTAATATGTGAATTCCTGCAAACTAAATAAATGTAATTCGTTTAACAAATGGGGACACATAAAAAACAAAGTATTTTTAAAGCAGTCTTTTTCCATTAAACGAAATTAATTTTTGGCCGAGACTTCTGGCGCTGCGATAGTTAATACGCCTGCCAATCGTGATGAATGACGAGCAGATACCTGGCGATGCAAGAGAATCCATCACTTCATCGTTAGAGAGAAACTAATAATGATATTACGTCCGCAAAATAACCATCTAGTTTTTTGAAGTCGAGTATGTCCTATATTGTTATCTTAATAGAAAACTAGGGATAAAAATACTCGTAACTCCATATTACATTATATGACAAAACGCAGGTACCAGGAAAAGGAAAGTTATGAATAAATTTTATATGAAAATAATTTTGCTAAATGTTTAAGCAATTGAGATTCTAGCGTTTTAGCTAATATGGTAATCTTCTTTTACTAACATTTAAAATACCGACCTGATTACAAATTGTGCATTTTAACTCGTTTCTAACATTCAGATGAAGTGAATGTGGTGTCACTGATGCAGCTTTAATTGCACTATTTAAATTCCTTTCCGTAGAATCGGTGGAGATCAGCGACGGCATTATTACATTAATGTTATTATTATCATCATTTATTGAATCGATTTGACTCTGAAACGTTAATATGTAACTAAATTAGGTGATATAGACAAAGCAAAAGTTTTAAAAATGCACACAAAAGAATAATACAAAGTTTACGCTACCTTTATAACATCTGTCTCTTTTTGTACCGGATTATTGTTTTTTCTACGAAAAGGCTTATAATAATTATTATTTCGTGAACACCAAGGATTTCGTAAAACCTCATTTAGAATACTCACTTTCGCCATCGTGTTTCGAACATCGAAAGGTAAGTCATTTTTTTTATTTAAGTTATTTGTTAAGACTTGCTTGTCAAAATCTTTTATCAAAATACTTTTTTCAATATTATGCTTTTTTGCATGCGTTAAATCAATAGCTTTAGAATGTGATGATGTAATTTTAAGGTCTAATGTAGTACCTTCTGTTTCAAACAAGTACATTTCATTCATTTTAAACATGTCCTTTGACACTTTCAAATCGCTATCGACCAAAAATTTTATATTAACTTGGCTTTTTTTATATTTATTTCTAAGGGATTCTTGAAAGTTTTCAGACTGACATTTATCGGATAAGATGAAATTTCTATTAAATCGCAGTGATTTATATGCCGGAGACGAATTAGAATAAAGTTCGGACGAAATTTCAGGGCTATCTGTGTGTGTGTCTTTGGCTTTGCGATCTCTGTCATTAGCATTCGTGAAAAGAACAGATTTTGGTCCACGATAGCGTTCATTTGATATTTCCTGCACGCTCGCCATCAGACCGTTACTATTACCGTTTCGAGCATGTGTCTCAATAAATAAATCACGTAGGAATGAGCCTCTTTGTCGGTTCCCAAATCGCGTCTTTAGATCTTTAACATGTGAGTTAAATTTTTCACTCCACTTACAACACCGGATCTGTTTATCTCGAAAATCTATGCTATCCGATGAACCCTGTACTTTGTAATTCTCGATCTCCACACGTTTCTTGTAATTAGCATACTGTTGGCCTTCATTATTTACAAAGTCCAAAGAGGTCATGTCATTACAATTCGTCACGGTTACATTACTTTCGCGATACATTTTAACATACGAATATGGTTTTTTCTCTCCATCACAAAAATTTTGTAAGCTTTGGTGATCAACATATATTTGCATTGTTTGAATTATTTCTAAAAACATATTTAGTCTACATTTTGGAATTATAACTTCTCCATGATAGATATAATATAGGACATATGTCATGGCATCGAGATCAAAATCTGGCAGGATTATAAATACTGGAGAATCTTCCGTAGTACACGATAAAAGCATTTCCTATAGAAGAAAAAGAAATTTTCAATCTCATTTTTAGGAAATTAAATGTTCCCTTAGATATTTCAAACAAAATTAAGCTGTTATATAAAATTAAAATAAAATGAGAAAAATATGATGTGAGAGTGCCATTGCCTGATAATACCACAGATACTACAGTTCAATACGTTGAATTATCTGGATTGGAACCCTAAACAGAATGACTATTCGATGAAAAAGATGTATTTGACCTTACCAAACATATATAAAAAATACATAAACACTCACGCCTGTCACCCAGAGGGGTAGGCAGAGACTACAGACTTCCATTTGGCACGATCCTGACACACCTCTCTCGCCTCCTCCACATCCATATGCTTAATATATTTTTCAAAGATTTTTACTGGAACCGCCGAAGTTGATCAAGTGGACATAAATTTCTACAGAATGTTATTTGTATAACCATTGACTACTTACTCTGAGATAAATACTGACACTAGCGAGGACGGCGCGATGTGCGTTGAATATGTGACCACTACACTGCAACTGAACGTCACACCACTCGCCACTTGAAAGCCATTCACAAATCTGCATTAATTAGAACGTATAAATTATTAACACCTTTGACAATAATTTGTTTGCTAAATTGACAATGTTCACATATTCACATCAGGTACGTATATTGTGACAACCAATTATCTAAACCCGAATTAAAAACGTTCCTCAGCTAAAGTGTTACGTGAATACGCACTTGGAAATAATCTAAAGATTGTAATGATCGTGATGATGAATGATTGTGATGATGATATGTAATGATCGTATTACTAAACACACCTCAAGCTGCAGCTTAGGATTGGGTTATCAGCTGAGTGAAGGTGTATATATGGTATTGGGAAAGCATTTTTTCTCAATTTTTGCGTAAATCAAATTATAACACGAGATTACTGATATAAGTAAACAAGCAAAAAGATTAAAATCACTACGTTTTAAACGATCTTTTTTGAAACAGACGCTGTCGCTTAAATGCGGTTATTTGTGCATATTGAGTTGAGTAGTAAACATTTAAGTCGTAATTTTTTGCTAGAGAATAAGGTGACAAACGAGCACACGTTTCAACTAATGCTAAGTGGATGCTGTGACCCATAGACATCTACATTCATCATCAATTAAGAATTAAAATGCTGAGGACTAAGATGGAATGCCTAATTTTCAGTAAAATAGCCACGGTTCTCTACACTTATCATACGAAGAAACACAGCAGTATTAAACTGCTATTTTACTATTCTGTGAGAGCGTGGTCCTTCCCAGATCGAAACAACCCATTCGTAATACTACTTTAATACAGCTGCAGCGTGGATAAATCACGTAAAAATACATACAAAACAGTTTAAACAATTTAAGGTTTTCTTGTTTACGAGATCAAGCCATAAAGTCACAAAACACTATCCAAAGTACAGCGTCTTGAGTAGCTGATCTTTGTAACTGAGATATTGTTTTTATAATATGTTTAATAATTTGCAACGATCTTAAGCGCTTTATTCACGGTCCATCTTGCTGTACGTCCCGCCAAGGTCATACACGACGCAAGACGCAGAACAACAATCAGTAGGCTTGAAGTATGTAATTGATGTAACTTTACACGTCTTCGGAACATAATATTTTGGTGCATGTTTTTATGATGTTCTTCTTCATCACTAAACTAAAAATTGAAATACAAAATATTCCCTTATATAAATAGATATACTTCTTACACCAACGTTATTTTCTATCTGGAAAGTAAACGTTGTTATATTAGTTATTTCAATGCAGTGAACTGTTTTAAAAATAAAATTAACAACGATGTTTTCATTGTACTCGTAACTATGTGTCTATATCCCAATTTTTCGTAAAGACATTGGATCATTTTACTAAGTGTAGGGTGTAGGTTTTCGACTGAATGCATACAAGCGTACTACGTTGGTGACACACTTTTATGAATTTTTGGTTTATCGTGCAAATAGACAGTGTTACCTCCGTTCGCTTCATACATCGGCAAAACTAAATAAACTGAGCACATAAAAACGTCTAGGTCAACGTTTTTAAAGTAGCCACCACACGTGAAAGCGTAGATCAAATATATATGATCAAATAAAAGGAAAATCTGAACCGCTCTTCATAGTGCCACACGTTTTTTAGGTTTTAACGACTACTATATTATTAATGTTAAATGCCTAAAAGTACAGTTACAATAATGGTTCGTAATTTCAAATTTTAAAAATATAACAGTAATAATATCAGGCTTCATCTCTCTCTAAAAGCTGGATCTCAACAACGGTGCTACCTACCGGGTACAAATGTAAATATAAACCATCTAGGGTAAATCTAGGGTAAATGTAAATATAACCCATTCAATATACGTGGTAGAGCTATGCTGCAGTTATATTAGTAGTATAATTGTAGCACGAATGGGTCGGCTTGACCGGGGAAGGACAACGCTCTCACAGAATACCAGCGTAAAACAGCAACTTAATGCTGCTGTGTTTCGTATGTTGAGTATAGAGAACCGGAGACCCTTTTCACTGGAAACGAGGTATTCCATCTTAGTCCTCACGGGTGACAACGCATCTGCATTTTGATTCTTAATCGAGAATAGATATAGATACCTATAGGCCACAGCAACCACTTACGATCATGTGGACTGTGTACTCGATTTTCCCCCTATCCTATAAAAAAAACACACAAAAATTTCATCAAAATGTTAAAGGTCAAGTATATAAGGAATAGTAGAAACATTTTTTGTGTTATATATAGATAGATGGTAAAAATACTAAGTTGAAAATAAAAGTAGTTCATAAATCATTAAGTCTTGTTAAATTAATTTAGTAATAACAACAATTAAAGGCGTAGCACGGATTAATACTTCGTAATACCGTAGTACTATTATTTATTCTGTGGTAATACATACAACGTGTTCTAGTAACTATAAAACATTAGATTTACGCTGAATACAAGTAGAAAATTACGGCTATCTCGGTTGCCTAAAAATTTATCATTCGATTCGTGCTATTATTTTTATGTACCTACTTACTTTTAAAAAAAACTTGAAACGGTTTTATATTAGAACAAAAAATTGAAAAACAAATACATCAAAAATAAACTTTATATTGTTATGGAGACACTCAATATTTTGGACTTGGACATTTTTTTGTATTAGCAAATTAGAATTTAAATTTAGTTCTAGCATTATTATATTAAGGTGCTAATATTTAAGATAATAATTTTGTAAAGCATTTCTTTCTGAAAAATAAATTTTATTTTTCTCTTACGAATAAGTCTTTTATAGTAAGTATCCAAGTACACTAAAATAATTACTCTCTGAGATATGTTTCTTACAGCAAAATTATAAACAAGTGTGATAGTTTTTTAAAGGATAACAGTATCGTCAAATTCATATATGTAATTTATCAATTCAAACATAAATAATAAAATATCTTGTTTTTGAGAAGCTAAGGGGTTTTAGTAGCGTTACTTCTCACCTAATTATTTATGATTACTTATTATAACGACATACGAAATGTATGGTAATGAAAATAATCAACAAATTCCTTACTTTATAATTTTAGAATGAAAGTATTTTATAATCTCCATTTTACTTTTAAGCAATTATTATTTAAAAGGTTTAACACATAGCTATATATAAAATATTATTTTTCTTTAATCTTATCAAATATTAATAAATTCTCACCATATTGCGTTAATAACTTCTGTATTATTATTACATTACACACTTTACTCTATTATTTCTATTTTATAAATTTCATTTTTATATCTACCACAGTATATAACAACTAACTTCGACAGAACCTATACCGACGCGTTAGATCTTTAAACTGAGGCCAAACGGTTTGACCACCGTACTGTAAGCTAACTGAATCAACCTGCCTCTGTGATAAACCCTTACATGATCATGTTAATTCGTTTGCATTCGGAGGTCAAAATTGGGTGCGTAGGTAAATTACCTATTGATCAAATCAGATATCTTTATTCAAATATACTTCAAACAAAGCACTTATGAACGTCAACATATCATAGTAATAATAATTATTACATTGTGTTCATAATATACTCATACAGAAAAAATTGTTGCGACGAATGTATAGTGTTCGCGTAAATTTAATATATAAGAAATCATTAAACCAGCTAACTGTGATCAATAAGAACCCGCGTAAAAGAACATATAGCTGACGTGAAGCATCAACGTTCCGGGAAGTCTGCAGTTTGTGATCATATCCTAGGCGCCCTAACCATTACATCAGATTTGATAGACCACAAATCCTCACGATAGAACATCGATTCCTACCAAGGATGATACGTGAGGCTATTGAAATTAAGACACATCCTAATTTCAATAGAGAAGAAGAATGGATACTACCACCTGGGACCCTGTAATTAATAAAATTGAAACTAAACCCAAGCATACTACTGCAAAACTTCAAGACACAATTAGTTCATTCTGCGTAGATCGGACCATAAACAATAATTAAAAAAGCTGAAGGTACTCAGGGTTAACATTGACATTGGGACGGCAGTCACCCCAGTCCTTCGTGACCATGGGTACTGGAAAGCACCCGAAACGTCGGGAATTAAAAATAATTTAAATTAAACGCGATAAAATCTGTAAAAGTAGTTTTAAATAAGATTTTTTATGTTAATGATTAATTATCAAGACGCTATTCACTACAAACCCTTAACTCTCTCATAATTTACACAAAAATGTTCGTGTGGTGGTGGCATAACAATATCTACCACCCCTATCATCCCGTGGATGTCAACATCAACATAACTATAATAATTTAAAGAAACTGCTGTTGCCAACCCGTTCCAACCGTTGCAACTATAGCATATTATATTATTTAGAACCAGAGTGACCAACATAACCCAACGGATTAGTAAGCTGAAATGGCAAAGGCCAGGCCATATAGCTCGAATAACCGATAACCGATGGGGGAAAAAGGTTCTCGAGTTGCAGCCTCGTGCCGGCAGGCGAAGTGTAGGGCGTCCCCCCACTAGATGGAGTGACTACCTGGTAAAACATGCAGGAAGTCGATAGATGCAGTTAGCTCAGGACCATGCTTTGTGGCATTCCTTGGGGGAGGTCTATGTTCAGCAGTGGACTCGTGAAGAGATTTTTTTTTAGTTATCAATGTAAGTCGTGGCAGCTGTCTTTTCTTTTCTTATGCTGCTCCCCGAAAACTGCCACCTGGGTCCTTGCTACTCCACTGTCGCAAGATTATTGTAGCTGCAGCCTAAACTGATTGGTGAAATATAAGGAATAGTGTAATTCGATCTTCGTATGGTAAGTGACGAGCATGGTTAACCTTTTTAACTAGTAATGAAGCATTGATTAAAACTACTATTACGGATTTTATCGCGTTTATTTTATTTTTAATTACTTTTATTTTTAATTCCCGGCGTTTCGGGCGCTTTCCAGCACCCATGGTCACGGGGGACTGAGATGACTGACGTCCCGATGTCATTGTTAAACCCGGAGTACCTTCAGCTTTTTAAATTATTGTTTATGGTCAGATCTATGCAAAATGAACTGACTATGTCTTGAGGTCTTGCAGTGGTATGCTTGGCTTTAGTTTTAATTTTATTGATTATAGGATCCCAAGCAGATGAATGAATGAATGCATGAATGAATGAATGAATATACTTTATTGCACACCACAAACAAATTTACAAAGAACATAACAGAGAGCAGATTTCATGTACAATTTGGCGGTAGATGGTAGCACCCAGCCATCTTCTGTATTGAAATTAGGATATTTTTTGATTTCAATAGCCTCGCGAATCATCCTTGGAAGGAATCTGTGTTCTTTAGCGAGGATTTGTGGTCTATCAAATCTGATGTAGTGACGGGGGCGATCCTGTACGTGTTCACAGACTGCAGACTTCCGGAGCGTCGATTCTTCACATCAGCTATATGTTCTTTAATGCGGGTTTTAATTGATCTTTTAGTTTGTCCTATGTACGAGAGACCACATTCACAATCAAGCTTGTACACTCCTGCATCTTGCAGAGGAACGTTACACTTGACTGATGGTAAAAACTGACCAATCTTCTACGGCGGCTTGAGGTATGTTTTGATGGAAGCGCGCTTCAAGATGTAGCCAATCTTGTCAGTGACTCCTCTAACATATGGCAGTACAGCAGGTACACGCTCGACTGTGGCCGGCTTCACTCGGTCACTGTGACGTAGGCGCGGGACCCGAAGCTTGTTGCCGTGCAGAACTTGCTTGACGTGCTGAAGCTCGGCGGCCAGGTGTTTGCTGTCACAGATCCCTCGTGCTCTCTGTAACAAAAATTTGCCCACGGTAGCTAACTGTGAAGGATAGTGGTGAGATTCACCGTTTAAATATCTATCTGTATGGGTTTTTTTCCTATACACAGTGTGACCAATGGTGTTGTTAGGATTTCGGATGACTAACATATCTAGGAAAGGTAAGGAATTATTTGCCTCTAACTCCACAGTAAAATGAATTTTAGAGTTTATGGAATTAAGATGTTCTAAAAATGCAGTTACTTTGCCTGATGGTAAAATCTATATGCTTAGTAATGAAGCATTAAATCTTAGTCCCCAGCGGTGAAAATGCATCGGCATTTGATTTTTAATCTGTGTTAGTTTGTCGTCAATTTTATCTACTTGTATTACTCTAATTTAGTAACAAATATTTTATTATTTCCATTCGTTAAAATTGAACAATGACATCCATATTAGATTGTCTCGCAAAGGGAGGGATTCTGGCAACAACTGTTTTTTATTATTTTCTGTTGTTATCGGAAAGATTCTACAGCCCATCTTCTGTTTTTTTTTCTTACTTTCAAAAACGTTATTCAACAAAACCCACTAATGTTATTATACTATTTTTTCCTGTATAGTGAAGGTAGTTTACATACATAAATTTTACAGAAACAAACATCCAGACCGGGAAAAAATATTTTCAGGTCATAATATCACTTGTTCCGTGAGGGATTAGAACCTGCAGTCGTAACCAGCCAGGAGTACCTAAGGTTTTGTTAGTTATCTTACGTCTGCGAGATTGTTCAAGTGAAGCTCCTAAATTTAACCACTTATAAGACAACACACATGCTTCTTTTTTATTGATTTATTTATCACAATCGTCGTCATCATCACCATTACATCCTTTAACAAGTCCACTGCTGAACTTAGGCCTTCCCAAACAAAGTCACAAAAAAAATTTTGGACATGAAGGGCCTTTCTATCTATCCATTACAGCTAAAATATAATCCTTAATGCTGCAAATAGGCCTTCTCCATGTAGGGTTCTTAATGTAGGGTAGTAGGTTAAGACTGATTATATAGGTGGCGGGTAAATTAAGATAAATACATGGAATTCATTATGGAATAAACTGTTATAGATTGCGTTACGTTCTTTGTGTTCTCTCCGGCTTTTATAAACATCACATTGGCGACGAGGATAAAAACGTAGTTTTATTGTGTTTTTAATCGTTGTGAGTAAAAGTTTACAAGTTAATTCGAGGACAATGTCGATTGGAAAAGTGAACGAGTTCGATGTAAAAACCGGGGTGTGGTCGTCGTATGTCGATAGACTTGAGATGTATTTTACGGCAAATAAAATAAGTAGTGATCTCAAGTTGCCCACGCTAATAGCGGTCATGGGCGATGAGGCCTACGAGTTGCTAGTGAACCTGGCTAGCCCCGTGAATCCGTCGGAATTAAAATACGACGCCGCCATTAGTCTATTGCGCAACCACTTACAGCCGGCACCATCCGCGTTAGCGGAAAGGTATCGGTTTAGACAAAGAAGGCAAGCAGCGGATGAGAATATAGCAGAGTACGTAGCAGAGTTAAAAAAATTAACACGTCACTGCAAACTGGGCGACGGTCTTAGTGAAAGTCTACGGGATCAATTTGTCTGCGGATTAAGGAGCGATGTTATTCGGCAGAGGCTGTTTGCGGAGGATGACACATTAAGTTTCACCAATGCGATAAAGATTGCCAGCTCGTTAGAGGGGGCGGAGCGGAACGCTGCGGCGGTAGATGCAACCGAGTCAGCAACATCAGGAAGAGATATGGCGGGGGTGCACTCGCTGGTGATTGGGAAAAATGGATCGCGGAGAACGTTGGGGGGAGGCGGGCGCGGAATGCGCGGAGACCGCCAGCCACAACACAATCGGCCGGGATCGTCTACAGCTGTAAGGAGGCCCGATGCAATTAGCAGTCAAAATTGCAGCGGATGCGGAGGGACAGGCCACGGTTATGAGGATTGTCGGTTCCGGGAATACGTGTGCAGCAGGTGCAAGCGCAAGGGTCACCTACGACGCGTGTGTCCGGGGCAGGGCGCGGCATGTGTTCGCACAACCAGGCATACCGCTTGTCATCAGGCAGACGTGGCACGGCATGATGAAGACGGGGGTCAATTAGAGGAGTTTCATCACCTATGTTTAGGTGACTATAAGGCGGTGAGTTTGCCAGTGACTGTAAATAAATTCCATCAATATTTGTACGGTCGGCATTTTACTCTGCGCACCGATCACAAGCCGCTAGTGTCCATTTTTGGACCGAACACAGGTATACCAACTATGGTAGCGAGTCGGATGCAACGGTGGCAATTATTTTATCCGCTTATTCGTTTGATATTGAGTACATACGTACCGATGTGAATGGAGCGGACGGCCTGTCGCGTCTGCCGCTGTCGTCTAG